GTTAAGAGACCAACCTGGGCAACAAAGTGAGACCCTGTCTCTCCAAAAAATTAAAAAATGAAAAATATTAGCCAGGCATGGTGGTTTGTGCCTCTAATGCTAGTTATTTGGGAAGCTGAGGTGGGAGGATTGCTTGAGCCCAGGAGTTCAGTGTTAGAGTGAGTGAGCTATGATTATGCCATTGCACTCCAGCCTGCATGACAGAGACCCTGTCTCTTAAAAAAGAAAATTATGCTGTATTTAACAGTCTTTAATAGAAAGTGATTGTTCTTTTGTATACTATCTTTTCATTGCATCATGTGGAGTCTATTGTGATTCATATATTTAAGATTTATCTATTGTGGTAAAGAGTAGGGATTTAATGCTGCATTTTAATTATGTAGGAAATGTGTACAGTGTGAGTGAAGTCCTCTGACAGGAGAGAGGGCCTAAAGCTGAACTAGTTCAAGGTAGTGGCATTTTTCGAAGATTATTATAATTGCTAGTGTCATATAATTAGTTTGGAAATAACTGTTTCTCAAAGTGGTTACTTTTTGTTTAAGCAGATTTGTTGTGATTTCTAGCTTTTATTGAAGATTTTGGTCTCTTGGAAGCAGTGCTGTGGTCTGAAATGGTCCAGTTTGTAGTAGCAAATATTAAGTTGTTTGGATGTCACAGAATCAACTGTTGTACAGTTTTATTTTTCATGTGGTTTTGCTTTGGTATAAATTTCAAAACCTAATGTTGCCAGAGTATCTCTGGGAATAGATGTTGATGTTAAGGAGTACATGGTTGAGGCCAGAAAACTATAAAAGGCTGTTGATTTATTCTCTTACTTCCTATTCCTCTGGAACTGATCCTTTTACATTATGTTATTAGAAACATTATCTTATTTTTTTAAGGGAAGATGGAGAAAAGAATACAAAGTTAGTGGGTAGTGGGAAGGTTTTAAAACATAGCAAAGGCAGCATGAGGCATGTGAAGAGTTCTGCTACCTAAAGCTTTATGATAAATTAATCTAATATAGGTATTAATGTAGATGAAACAATGAGTGGGGTAGTTCTTTGTAAATAGTATAATTTTATACAGTTCTTGCTCTTTTTTTTTTTCTTCTTGAGACAGAGTCTCGCTCTGTCGCCAGGTTGGAGTGCAGTAGTGCCATCTCCGCTTACTTACTGCAGCCTCCAACTCCCTGGTTCAAACAATTCTCCTGCCTCAGCTTCCCAAGTAGTTGGGGATTACAGGCACCCATCGCCATGACCAGGTAATTTTTGTGTTTTTAGTAGAGACGGCATTTCATCATGTTGGTCTCAATCTCCTGACCTCGTGATCTGCCTGCCTCAGCCTCCCAAAGTTACAGTTGTTATCTTACTGCCAAGTTGGCTAATTACAATGCTAAATGGTAACATGCTTTTCCTTGGCATGCTAACTGCTGACTGACCCATGGCACTACTAATGTTCATGCAAAGTCATCCCCCATATTGCCCTGCCATTCTTTTTAGCTCTGCTATTTCAAATATCTGATAGAACGGTCTGAAGAACTTGATAATGAATAAAAGTTCTAGGTTGCTTGAAGTCTATAGAAAGACTGAAGAGCCATTGTTCCTAGTATCTAGATAGTACATATTAGTGGAAAATATAGTCTGTAGTAATTCTTAGCAATTTCTCTGTTTTAGACAGAATAGAGTAAATCTTTTAATTACTGCTAAGATAGTAAGTACTTTGTCTCTATATGTATGAAAGTTTGAAAGAATTGGTCCTTGTCTACAGCAAATCTCAGCTTAAAATTAACAGGCCTTAAGATTCTCTTTCAGCTATAGTATCTGTGGGACCTTTCCACTCTGCTTTTAATATTTTAACAGAATTGTCTCATTTGTGCTTTTTTCCATATGCAAATTATGATGTTGGGATAGACATTTCTAGGCTCAGTGGCTAGGGTGAAGAGATGCTAAATCCCAGGGTCCTGAGGGATATATTTCATAGCTAGTTCTTGAACCCTTGAAATGTGACCTTTTTTAAAGAGACGTTTTATGTGACCTTTTTTAGAACCTGTGGAGGCAAGTAGGAAGAGTCATCACAAATGCTTATATTTCTTAGGTTCTCTTATTGGAGCAAGGAAATACGAAGGTGGGGCTCCTGTTTCTTTTATTGAAATATGGTTACACAGTAAAAAAAAAAAAACATAATTTTTAGTTGTACTCAGTTTTTGTTTTCTGTTTTTCAGTTAATTAAAATTGTGGAATACAGCAGGCTTTTTTGTTGTTGTTGGACACAGTCTTGCTGTGTCGCCCAGGCTAGAATACAGTGGCGTGATCTCTGCTCACTGCAACCTTCTCCCCATGGGTTCAAGGGATTCTTGTGCCTCAGCCTACCTTGTAGCAGGATTACAGGCATGTATCACTGTGCTTGGCTAATTTTTGTATTTTTAGTAGAGATGGGGTTTTGCCATGTTGCCCAGGCTGGTCTCATACTGCTGGCCTCAGGTGGTCTGTCTGCCTCGGCCTCCCAAAGTGCTGGGATTACAGGTGTGAGCTACTATGCCTGGCCTTTTATTTATTTATTTTTGAGACCAGGTCTTACTTTGTCACCCGGCCAGAATGCAGTGGCGAGGTCTTGGCTCACTGCAACCTCCACCTCCTGGGCTCAAGAGATCTCCCACTTTAGCCTCTTTAGTAGTTGAAACTACAGGTATGTGCCACCACACTCGGCTACCATTCTTAAAATCTATTAGTTTATCTTTGTAAGATAATAATGAGCCTTTGTTTTGTGAGTTAGGCTTGTAAGATTTTTCAAGCAACTTATTCAGTGAAATTATTAATTCGTAGTCCTTAAAATATATATTTTTTGATGTTGTGGTTTTGACTTGGATAACACAGGGAAGAGTCAGACTATGTTGAAATAACTTATACTTTTTATCTTCTCTTGAGACAATTGGATTATAAGGATGCATTCAATATGTTTCTGGAGCTTCTTCACTTAGAATTTAAGTTCAGAAGACTGTGATTCTGTTTTTAGGACTGCTAAGATACAGGTAAAGAAAAGTTATATTACAAATGAGGAAGAAAATAACTTATGTTAAGGTTTATAGTCAACCTGAGAAGTTGTAGTTAAGATTAAATAGATTTTTTTGGGCGGGGGTATGGTAATTTAGAACTCAGATTAGATTGAACTAGGTTTTTAGCAAATGCACCTAAGATTTATTTTACTGTTAAGGTGAGACTTGATCGGAGCATGTGAAAGCTTTGAGAACTGCTTTTTTGTATTGGCTTATGCTGGGGTTTGGATGCATTTAAAGCATATGTAGTACTGCTGTAAGTAAAAATGATGGTGTTGACAAGATTTCTTTCTTTTCATGAGTGGTATTGGATTTGGGGTGATTACATCATGCCAATTTGAATGTTTTACCTTGGACCTAAAGACATAAATGTTAAAGATGGCTGGCCGTGATAAATATAGACTGCCTGTAATTCACCTGGCTATCTTATGAAGACATCCCTCCTTGTTTTTGAATCTGTCACGAATGCCATTTTACAAAAGTGTTAGTTGATCACAGACATTCACTGGCTTTTGTTTATATTAGTACTTCTGTGAATTTAGATGGGTATAGATATTGGTTAAATATGCTACCAGTACATTTGGATATTTGTTTATCTAGCAATTTCATAGAGAAAAATACTCATAAATACGTTACTTTTATTAGGTTAGTATGAATTCAGTTAGTATTTTAAAAAGAAAATTATTATAATGGAAGAGTAACAGGAAAAAATACAAGTTTAATAAGTGAGCCTAAGGGCTTACATTGTACTGAGAATTGGTTTTAGATTTGTCAGGGAAGAGAGAAGAAACATTAGTCGTTTTCATGTATGTTGAAGTCACTAAAAGAACAATGTAAAGCTCTTTTAGACCAGATACTAAGTAGCATAATACAGAGAATCATTTAAGAATTCAGAGAACAAGATGGTGACTGTGGTCTATGTCAAGTAGGAGGTGGCTCTTGTGCCTCAGTTGAAGAGAGCTTTTGTATTGCTACTAGGGGTGAGAGAAGGCAAAAAAGGAAAGAAGAGGGCTATCAGTGAATAGAGACCCTGGAGTCAGTAATCTGCTTGTAAATAGGTCTCAGTTCAGAATGTGTTGGATTAAGTTTAATATCTTTTAACCCCAAATTAACATTCTTTTCTCCATCTGACCTTTCTCTGAGAGGTCTTCTACTTTGCTAAAAAGAAGATTCAGGGAAGCAAAAACTCAAAGCCTTACTTTCCCAAATGCAGAATGATCTGAAGAGAGTCAGAATACTGAGACATTTTTATTTGCACATATTTTATTTTCAAGTAAAATAAGGCCTTGAGGAAAGCAGTAAGGCCTTTTAGAATTGGATAGATAAAGTCAAACTCTCATGGGTCCACCATTTGCTATTTCACTGTGGGCAAATTTAACATTCTTCCTATTACCTATAATATGGGAACAGTACTGCCTACCTCATGGGGATGGAGCTAAGCATTGTGTGTGGTCTATGGAATGACTGAATACATGGGAGTTTAAAAAATGACTTATAATTGAAACAAATAATTGAAGTAATTATATGTGATAAACTAAAAATTAATGTGTAGTAAAGATTATAGTTTACCTTGTCTGGGCATGGTGGCTCATGCCTGTAATTCCAGTACTTTGGGAGGCCGGGGTGGGCAGATCACCTGAGGTCAGGAGTTTGAGACCATCCTGGCCAACATGGTGAAACCCCGTCTCTACTAAAAATACAAAAATTAGTTGAGCATGGTGGTGGGCGCCTGTAATCCCAGCTATTCAGGAAGCTGAGGCTGACGCAGGAGACTTGCTTGAACCCGGGAAGCAGAGGTTGTAGTGACTGAGATTGTGTCACTGCACTCCAGCTTGAGTGACAAGAGTGAGATTCCACCTCAAAAAACATAATAAAAAAACATAGTTTACCTTGTATACTTTGGCAGTTTTCTCCATTTAACTCTTTACAGTTGTCATTAAAAAAAAAAAATTCTTTCTTCCTTTAGGAGACAAGGATGGCAGCAAGGTGACCACAGTGGTGGCAACTCCTGGGCAGGGTCCAGACAGGCCGCAAGAAGTCAGCTATACAGACACTAAAGTGATTGGAAATGGATCATTTGGTGTGGTATACCAAGCCAAACTTTGTGATTCGGGAGAACTGGTTGCCATCAAGAAAGTATTGCAGGACAAGAGATTTAAGGTAAAACCTCCGGTATTTAATGTATTTTGTTACTGTTGTAATACATGTACCATGATTTTTTTTTGGTTGCCTCTTTTCCTTCAGATTTCTTCTATTGTGTGCATTTTTGTTGAGCTCAAACATAGTGACTTTAATTATTTCTAGTCATGTATTTTGTAAAGATAAAATTCACTGAAGATTGCAGTATTGCTTTGTAATCATTATGAATGATATATATATTTATAATCCTGTGAAAAGTAAGTTAAAATTTCTTCTTAATTTATACTTTAAAAGTGACCTGTCCCCGCCCATTTACTGTTTGGTGTAGACCAGAGGAACACTGCCTGTAGCATATAAGCATTTGATATAGTTGACTATGCTTCTCTTCTTGAAAAAAAATTTTTAATCCATGATGCAACTTGTGTTAGTCTGTTTTTGTGTCTCTATAAAGGAATACCTGATATTGAATAGTTTATAAAGAAAAAAGGTTTCATTGGCTCTCAATTCTGCAGGCTGTACAGAAAGTGTGGTACAGACATCTGCTTCTAGTAATGGTCTGAGGAAGCTTCTAATCATGGGCAAAACATGAAGGACGAGCAGTTGCATCATGTGGCGAGAGCTAAGCCAGAGAGTGAAGGGGGAGATCCAGACTTTTATTATTATTATTACTGTTGTTACTATTTTCTAGAAATGGGGTTTTGCCATGTTGTGCAAGCTCGTCTTGAGCTCCTGAGCTCAGGTAGTTCACCTGTCTCAGCCTCCCAAAGTGCTGGGATTACAGGCGTGAGCCACCATGCTTGTCCCCAGATTCTCTTAAACAACCAGATCTCCTGTGAACTAACTAAGCAGGAACTCACTCATCACCAAAGGGATAGTGCCAAACCATTCTTGAGGGGTTGACCCCCATGATCCAGTACCTCCCACCAGGTTCCATTTCCAACATTGGTGGTTACATTTCAACATGAGGTTTGCAAAGGGATAAACATCCAAACCATATTATAACACTATCTATTCTTCTCATAACTATTTTTTTGTTATCTTCCTTTTTTTCCCCTTGTCCTCTGCCTTTAGACACTGGCAATCCCAAAGTTCAGTCTTGCCATTTATTTTCATTTTTTGTACCTCATTAGGGGAGCCTATGCATGGAAGGAAGCTCAGATGTCATCTCTATGTTGTGGTATAGCAGAGAGATTCAGCAGACACTGGCTGTAATTAAGCCTCTGCCACTATGCAGCATTGCTCACTTTCCTACTCCTCCCACCTCTGCAACATTTTACTGATCGTGCTAAGATCTATGTTAAACATGAAGGGCTATAACAGTAAGAAGTGATCACTGCTCTGGTATAACACACTTTGTAATGACCATCTGCTGTAAATGTCTAAAACATTCTAAAGAGTTTTTAAAAATTTCAATAGTTTTTGTTTCCTTTTTTTTCTTTCTTTTTTTTTCCGAGATGGAGTTTCGCTCTTCTTACCCAGGCTGGAGTGCAATGGCGCAATCTCGGCTCACCGCAACCTCTGCCTCCTGGGTTCAGGCAATTCTCCTGCCTCAGCCTCCTGAGTAGCTGGGATTACAGGCATGCGCCTCCATGCCCAGCTAATTTTTTTTTTTTGTATTTTTAGTAGAGATGGGGTTTCACCATGTTGACCAGGATAGTCTCGATCTCTTGACCTCGAGATCCACCTACCTTGGCCTCCCAAAGTGCTGGGATTGCAGGCATGAGCCACTGTGCCTGGCCCTAGTTTTTGTTTCCAATTCTCACCTCTCCCCCAAGTACGAGTCTCATGTTGTCAAATGCCCACTGGATCTTGATAGCTGAATGTCGCACTGTTATCCCAAATTGGCAAGCCATCTTATGTAACCATGACTAAACTTTTTAAAATTTATTTTTTATTTTTTGAGATAGCGTCTCGCTGTGTTGCCCAGGCTGGAGTACAGTGGTGCCATCTCAGCTTATTGCAACCTCTGCCTCCCAGGTTCAAGCGATTCTCCTGCCTCAGCCTCCTCCCTAAGTAGCTGGGGCAGAATCTAGTAGCTGGGATTATGGGCATGTGACACCATGCGCGGCTAATTTTTGTATTTTTAGTAGAGATGGGGCACCATGTTGATCAGGCTGGTCTCAACTCCTGACCTTGTGATCCACCCATCGCAGCCTCCCAAAATGCTGGGAGATGAGTCACTGTGCCCGTCCTGTGACTTAACTTTTAAGACTCAATGGAAATCTTTCCTTCTGGTTCCCAGAACTTTGGATTTGCTTTTTCCTTTTAATGGTTTTATCATTCACTGTTACCCAGACTGTTCCATTTGCTCATCCCTAATATCCAGTCATTGTTAAACTTGATTTTCTTTTTACCTCATACTCCCTTGTTGCTGTGTCTCTTTTTCTTTCTCTTTAGTACGATTCTAGTCAGACTCTGTCGTTATTTGGCTTAATCACGTACAAACATCTATCTTAGTCTTCTCCTTTCTAATCTCTTCTGCATACTAAAGTTCTCCTTGGTCATGTTGTTTTTCTCCTCCCTGTAAATCTTCCATGGTTCTTCATAGTCTAGAAAGTAAAACCTGTCTAGTTTACTTGTGTACTCAGAAACTTCCGTAGTCTTCCCTTTTCTCCAAATACTCAACTTTCCAAACTTTTTGTGTCACTGTCCTTGAAATGTGTTCTTCTCTATGCCCACTGTGCTTTTATTCAGCTTTTCGATTACTCCCATTCTCCTGCTATCTAAATTCTGTGCACTTACGAAAATTCCAGTCAAATTCTTCCTGTGTGAAACTTCCCAGCTGATTCCAGTCAGCCATGTAGATCTTGCTGCTCTAAATTCCTTGAGCCCTTATTGTCCACAAACTAGGAAATTCCATATTTTTTATCACAGGGTCTCCATTTTAAAAATATTTGTCGCCTAAATACCCACACATTTTATTTTTGAATGGTAGTTAATGATGATAGCAAATACTTATCTTTATTATATGTATTTTTTTACATGAGTGGTTTTACATAATTCTTACCATTAGTACTATGTGATTGACATTGTTGTTATTTGTATAAGGAAAACTGAGTACAAAGAGATTTCAAGTTAGCTTGTCCAGGGTCACACAGTTGGCAAGTGGATGGTTGGGCAAGAATTGAAATCTAGACAGACTCTCCAGTGCTTTACTACATTTTGTCCTCACTGTCTTAAACCCCTCTACCCCTTGTGTCTTTCTTTCACAGTATTCAGCCTCTTTCTATATCATAGTATCAGATTCTCACAGCATCATACCTTTTTCTATAAAAGTATTGAAACCATACCCTTTTTCTCCCTCAAGAAAGAGAGAGATTAGTTTTATTTCATTCTCTAATGGTTGCATTATAGTTTATTGTGTGGCTATGCCCCAATTAGCCATTGTTCAATTGATGGCTATTGAAGATTTTTTTCCCTACCAACATTGTATTTATTTACTGTATCAGAATACAGTTTTTAAAAGTAGAATTCTAGGGTTGAAGAGAAGGAGAGCACTTTAAATCTTGATACAGGGTGCCTTCTGGTCAGATTTTATGCATTTAAGTGTACATTATTTGAATATGAGTAATGGCCATTTCCTGTGTAGTCTTTAGATATTAGGGGTATTTTTATGTTTTTCAATTCTGTTGGTGGGAAACCATTTTTCTTTTTTCTTTCTTTTTTATTTTAAATTTTTTGTAGAGATGCATCTCACTACATTGCCCAGGTTGGTCTCGAGTTCCTGGCCTAAGCTGATTTGGAATTATAGTCTGAATCACCATGCCTGGCCCTGAAAAATTATTTTAATTTACAACATTATTTTACATGCCATGACTCTTTACTCCTTTTAGAGTATGTGTCCTCCTTACTCAGTTGTTAACACCCATTTGTTAAGGATTATATTAGTTGTATATTGTTATATAACGTATTACCCAGAAAACTTAATGGTGTAAAGCAACAAAGATTTTATTATCTCAGTGCTTCTGTGCGTTGGAACTTCAGGCATGGCTTAGCGAGGAACCTCTGGCCCAGGGCCTCTCACCAGACTGTAATCCAGGTGTCAGCCAGGGCCACAGTCTCATCTGAAGGTTTGTTTGAAGGAGGAAATATCTGTCCCCAAGCATACCATGTGATTGTTGGCAGACTTTGGTCCCTTGCCACATGGGCCTGTCCACTGGGCTTTTCGAGGTCTTAACCATTTAGCTTCCCACATGGCAAGAGATCCAATGGAAAAACAGTAAGCCCAAGACAGAAACCACAATTTTTTTCTAATCTAATATTGGAAGGGTTAGGTGATTAAACAAAGGTGTGAATACCAGAAGGCAGGTATCATTTAGGGCCATCCTAGAAGCTGCCTCCACAAGAATATGAACCATCTATCATCATCTCAAAGAGAGAAAAAATAATTTCAGTTTTTGTTGACTTTACTTGGGATACCTTTTGCTCTTCAGATGTTGATTTGGGCTTTGGGATAATGCTGAGAAAGGTCCTGTTCTATCTTACTTATAAATCATTTCTTTTTCCTCTAGGAATTTTATTTTCGCATATTTCTTTAATCTTTCTGGGGTTATATTTTGGGACATAGTGTGAAGAAGTGATACAAGTTGACCTTTCCCCAAGTAGTAGGTCATTTGTCTCAGAAATCATTTTTATAAACTTTATCCTTTTCCCACTGATTGGGCAAATGCCATTTTAAAAATCACATTACATTACCATATATACACTGGATTTTCTTCTGGGTTTCCTTTTCTTTTCCACTGACTTGCCTATTTTGGCTTATGATGATGTCCATTTTGGCTTCTCTAATGATGAGAACTAACAGCATATTTTGAGTGTTTCTTGTTTTATCTCTTAAAAAAATCCGTGTATCAAATATCATCAGCCTATGATGTTTTTCCTGCAACCCCAACAAAACAAAAACAAACTTTACATTTTGATTAAAATTGTGTAAAATTTGTAGAGTAGTTGGGCAGAATGTGTAAATTCATAATATCCAGCCTTCCCATCCAGCAATGTGATAATTCTCTCCATTTAATCCA